AGATTCAAAAAGACATATACACCCCTATGTTTATTGCAGCACTATTTGCAATAGTCAAGATATGGAAGCAACCTAAGTGTCCATCAGTAAATGAATGGGTGAAGAAGATGTGGTACATATACACAATTGAATACTATTCAGCCATAAGAAGAAAACAAATCCTACCATTTGCAGAGGGTATTATGCTCAGTGAAATAAGCCAGGTGGAGAAAGACAAATACCAAATGATTTCCCTCATTTGTGGAGTATAACAATGAAGCAAAACTGAAGGAACAGAACAGCAGCAGACTCACAGACTCCAAGAAGGGACTAGAGGAAGGGACTCCAAAGGAGAGGGGTCGGGGAGGGTGGGTGGGGAGGGAGGGAGAAGGGGATTGAGGGATATTAGGTTTAGTACACATAGTGTGTGGAGGAGTCATGGGAAAAACAGTGTAGCACAGAGAAGACAAGTAGTGACTCTGTGGCATCTTACTACACTGATGGACAGTGACTGCAATGGAGTATGGGGTGGACTCAATAATATGGGTGAATGTAGTAACCACATTGGTTTTCATGTGAAACCTTCATAAGAGTGCATATCAATGATACCCTAATAAAAAATAAAAAATGATAAAAATCCACTAGAACTAATAAACAAGCTCAGCAAGGTTTCAAGGTACAAGATCAATATGCAAAAATTGATTCTTTCTATATACTTGCAATGAACAATCCAACAAGGAAATTACAAAAAACTCTCCACCTACAATGGCATTGAAAAGAATAAAATACTTAGGAATAAATTTAATAAAAGGTGTATAATACTTATATTCTGAAAGCTCTAAGGCACAAGTGAAAGAAATTAAAGAAGATCTCAGTAAATGTTAAGACAGCCTATGTTCATGGCTTACAAGACTTAATCCTGTCAACATCCCAATACTCCTCAAATTGATCTACTGATTTAACACAATCCCTATGGAAATCTCAGCTGTCTTTAGTTTTTATTTTTTTCCAAAATCTTACAACTTTTTGCTGATTTCCAACTTCATAGTGAAGACCAAGGGATCACAAACAGTCAAAAAATCTTGAAAAAGAATGACCAAGTTGAGGACTCACACCTGTGAATTTCAAAGCTTACTATAAAGCGACAGTAATCAAGACAGTGTAGTACTGGCATGAGGATAGATAAGTAGATCAATGGAATAGAATCGAAGTCCACCAGTAAACCCATTCATCTGTGGTTACTTGATTGGCAACAAATGTGTCAAGATCATTCAATGGGAGAAAGAATACTTTTTACAACAATAATGTAGGGGCAACTGGATAGCTAAATGCCAAAGAATGAAGTTAGACTCTTAGCTCACACCACATATAAAAATAAGTTCAAAATGGATGAAAGACCTAAATACAAGAGCTAAAATTCTTAGGAGAAAACAGGGGGATATTGTCATGACCTAGACTTAGATATGACACCAAAAGCTTAAACAATGAAAGAAAAAAAAAGAGAGAAATAGATTTCGTCAAAATTAAAACTCTTGTGCTTCAAAGGATACTGGCAAGAAAATGAAAAGACAGCCCACATAATGAGAGAAAATATTTGTAAATTGTATATCTGACAAGGGACTTGTATCTAGAATACATAAGGAACTCTAATAATTCAATAATGAAAAGACAAATAACTCACTTAAAAATGGGCAAAAGATCTCAGTAGATGTTTCTCCAAGGTAGATATGCAAATGACCAACAGCACAAAAAGATTGCACCATCATTAGGAGGGAGTTACAAATGCAAACCATGAGATGCCACTTCACACCCACCAGAATAGATAGAAACAAAAGTCAGGTAATAACAAGTGTCGACAAGGTTATGGAGAAACTGGAATCCCCATACACTACTGGTGGGAATGTAAAAGGGTCTGCACACTTGAGAAAACAGTCTGGTGGTTCCTCGAAAAGTCTACATTAAATTACCATATGACCCAGCAACTTCACTCCTACGTATATACCCAAAAGAAATAAAAACATATATCCACCCAAAAACTTTACACAAATGTGTACATTCTTCATAATAGCCAAGAGGTGGAAACCCAAATATCTGTCAACTGATGAAGAGATAAAATGTGGTCTCTCCATACCATGGAGTGGTACACACTCAATAGTATAAAGGAGGAAAGTTACTGACACATGCTACAACATGGACAACCCTTGAAAACATGCTGAGGAAAACAAGCCAGTCACAAAAGGCCACATACTGCATGATCCCATTTACATGAAATATCCATAATAAGCAAATTTACAGAGGCAGAAAGTAGATAAGTGGTGACCTAGGGCTAGGGGGCAGGTAGGGGTACATGGAGAGTGATTGCTAATGGATACAGGGTTTCTTGTAAAGGATCGAAATGCTTTTAAATAAGATGAGATTATTTTTAATTTCAAGTACTTTTTCTGCACTTATTGCCTTTATTACAAAGCAGTGCGTGTAAGCTGGCACTTTGAAAACATCTTTAAATTGTAACTAGAGGAGCAGCTTGGGCACTGTAGAGCTAGCAACCACCCTGTCATTGTGAGCCTGTCTGGCTGCCGGACATGCACATGTGTTATGGGGATTAACATGGCACCCATACTAAAGTGACTTGTAGGCCAGAAAGAGAGGAGAGGAAGCAAATGCCTGCCACTTTGTAGTAAACTCCTACCCACCTTTTCCCCATAAAAGTCTGCTGCCCAGCAGCCCTGCTGGTGAAGGCAACATGCTCTGCTTTCTTTAAACAGCAGTCCAGCAGAAACTTAATGTGACTCTAGATAAACAGCTAATGGGCATATATGATTAAAGCAGCACTGAGAGAGCAACGTTTCCAGACATCTCCATACACACGCATTTGCTCACTGTGCACACATACATGCTTTCATTCACTGCTTCTCTATGACCTGCTGGCCCAAATCAGACTTGGGACCAGCGTAGCATCTGTTACTCCCTTGGCTCCCAGCTTTGTGCAGAAAAACTGCAATAAAATCTTAGACCACGAGTGGGCTTAGAAACTCTGTTGTCATTTCCACGCTGTGCATCAGCCAGGTTGCAGCTGTTGAATTGGCTCTCTAATGCTGAGTCCTCCTGATCAAAGGATTACGGTAGCACCAGCTGTGACCAAGTTTGTCAGAAACCAAACCTCCTGTCCACTGAACGTATCTACCACTTACTGATCTACTCCCTGGAGGCAGAAAGAAGAAAACACATCCCGAGCTCCAAACAGAATCTAGGCCTTAATTAAAGGCAACAAAGCACATTGCATCAGCACCCATGAAAGAATCAAATGAAGGAATGGAATTTGTCCTACCAGGTACAGCTTAATACAGTCTTGGAGATAGACACTAGTCCTATTGTACAGGCCAGGGAAGGGCTGGCTGTAAGTTTTGTTGTGATCGATCGCTTCAGTGGAGGAAGAGAGCTGATCTCCCTTCTTAACTAACTCCTGAGTGACACCCTCAAGGGTTTCTCCCCTAGCACATTAAGCAAGAGACTGGAGTCAGAGGTGGTCTTCCGGCTTCCTAAGTAATACTCGTAATTAACTTGGGATCCTTGCAATAAAAAGGTCTATCTCAGGTCCTTAGAAAAGCACCCTTCCTCATATATGGACTAGCTCACGCACTTAGACACCCACCCTCTCCCTCTCTCCCCTCCCACTGCCCCTCACTCCCTCCCTTTCCGCCACTCACCTCAGAGAGGTGTGCATGCACACACTTTCTTAGTATGGAGAGTGCACTGGACTAAATGGACCATTTTGGAAGGGGAGGGACAAGTAAGAAGGGGAAATGTAGAACTTTCTGAAAGACAGTCCTTGCCAATTTGTAGCGACAAAGCAGAGTAAATCCAATTTCCCCTTCCCTATCCCACACTGGGTTTTTAGCAGGGCTAAATTTTGTCTTAGAGCTATGAGGCAATGGTCTGTGATGGTATGATTTGTGAGCTATGAAACAGGGCCCTCTGCCCTCCTCTTGCCCCTGCTAGCAAAGCTATCTGAAATTCCTCAAATTCAATACATGTATTGAAATTCCTTGGTGCATGTATTAAGGTCCTTTTTAAGGAGGCCTGTTAGGGAGCAGTATAGGACATGTTTGCCACCTTTCCCATTTCTACCAACAAAGTCTTGAGCAGCACAGGTGAGCTCTGTGGGGAGTCTGGGTAAATCTGGAGTTTAAGGCCAGGGGAACAGGCCCAAATAGAACTCTATAGAAGGGGATTGGTTGATCCAGGAACAGCTGGGGGTACTGGCTGTCCAGATTTTCCACAATAGGATGTAGAAGTTGGGACATCACAGATGAAAGTTTGAATAGGGTGGCAGCATTACTAAAAAAAAACAATGTCTTCTCCATACCTTCTGTGACCAATCACAGCATTTCCCCCAGTCTCCGGAGATGGAGGGCAAAAGGGCTTTGGGCTCTTTCTTTGTCTGCTTGCTTATTTGTTTTCACATTAACCCAGTGATTTCATGCTTATGCCCTAACCGAGAGAGATGGCTTCACTACCTGAGACTTTAATCACACATTACCAGATCTAGCTTCCCTCACCAGATAATCATAAATCTGTAGTCGGAGCACTGGGCAAGCAAGCCACACCAAGCTTCCTGAATGATGGAGGCCATCCATCCTTACCCTGTGAAACAGAGGCCTCCAGCTCCTCACTAGAGGTAGGCCCCATGTCTCAAGTTATTGTAGCTATGACAGGGAAGGGCTTCCCTGATCTACCTGCACACCCTCACCCACTGCTTCTGGAGAATGGAGTGTGCATTTGCCATGCTCCAGCTCACTGAACCTTGCAACCCAGACAACAACCATGCATACGGGCACAGAGAAAGGTCCCCGGGACGTGGCTGCATTGGCAATGGCTGCAGCCCCAGCAACCACAGGCAGGGAGGCTGACAGTCCCTGGGACCAAAGGCTCATTGGCATTTTGGCTGCCGAAGGGGAACCTAGTTCTAGCTGTCTGCCCCTTGCCCTGTCCCCAGCACCCTCCACCCCACCTGAGCTTACCTGGACTCAAGTGGCTTTAGAGAAGTGATATCCATATGGCCGCTGGACAAGCTTGTTTTCATCATCCTCCCTCCCTGTGAGTCATCAGGCTCTCTTTTCTTTTTCTTGCCAAAAAAGCTCTTAAAGCCTTTAAATTTGAATTTCTTCTTTCCTGGAAGTTAGAAATGAAAGTGAGGCAGGGTGTGATGGTGGAAGGGAAGACAGGAGAGGAAACAGGAGCTTTATGACACGTACGAAGACTGTGACCCCAGGTGACTTGCAGGTCTTGGACCTCAACCTCACTGCCCACAGCACCATTCACTGGTTTATTCGTTCCTTAACAACCCAGTCACAGAGTGATTTTCTGGTGAAAACAGAAGCTCACACCCCTGCCCATGGTCTTTGGGCAGCCTCTCTTCAGGCCTAACTCACTGGGCACTTACTTGCCGCTCTATTTCCACTACCAACATACCCCTCTTTCCTGGCCCTAAGAAGTTCACTTATATGTAGCGATTATTGAGCCAAAGTAAGTATTTGTGACCCTCCTGACTCTACCCTGGTGCTAGAATCATTGCAATTACGTGGGGGGGGGGGGCAAGATTCACATGTGAAAAACAATTCAGCACCCTTGGAAATCCATGTGAGAGTTGGTACTGTGCACTGAAAGGATGCAGACCCAGGGAGTGAGTGCAGTCAGATTGGAGCACACAGGGGAAGATGTCCCCAGAGAAGGAATTTATGAGCAAGGGAGAAGGCTGGGAACTGGGAAGAAAGGACTGCTGGGCAAAGAAGCTGACTATGCAAAAAGCATGACAAAATCTGTTTGCAAAGGTTTTTCCAAGGTGTGTGTGTGTGTGTGTGTGTGTGTGTGTGTGTGTGTGTGTGTGTGTGTGCACGCGCGTGTTATATGCATTGCATGTGCTCTTTGATTATTGCCAAATGGTTTGGATTATCTAGAGAGCTGCTGCCCTGTGCATATGCAGATAATTGAAAGGTTGCTCTACCTATGGTAACTACCAGGACAGCAATGTGGGATGTAGGTGCTCCTAAGGCTCTGTTTGGGCTTTCTTTAGCTTCCTAAGAAGCATGTGTATCTTTTATCGGGACTCAGCAGAAGAGGGGAAAGGGGAGGGGAGTTCATGCTACTTTCTTCAGAGGGCAGGAATCAGCTCTTACTGCTTTCACATGCAATCATTTACCAACTCTGGTTTCTCACTGCAATTCCCAACAGTCTGGTCTCTGGAAGGCCTCTTGCCAGCACAGCGATGCTGCACTGGCAGTGAAGGGCCCGGGCAAGGGAGTTGCTGAGGGGGCTGACATTAGAAAGTCTCAGTAGTATACTGAATAGCACCACCCAAGGGCCAGAAAACTCTGGAATCCTTGTCTTGGCTCTGCTATGAGTTAGCTCTGTGGGCTTGGGTAAGTCACTCACACTCTCTGAGGCTCAGCAGGAAAATGAGGGGACCACACTAATTAGCATCTCCCAAAACGTATTCGGAGGGATACTCTTGCATGAAGAAAGGATCTGAAGTCTAGTCAATCCGGGAAATGCTGCATTAGACAAAGTTTAGGGATCTAATTTCCAACAAGATTTTCCTGAAACATCAACATGCCTATGTGTAGGGTGAAGCTCCAAGAAACAGGGCAACACTATCGTCTCCCAAGCACTTACTATGTTTTGGGTATCAACGAGAAAGGAATAAGGTATAGTTCTGTCTCTTAGCTACTGTTCCCCACATCAAGGCTATAGGCAGGCCCTCTTTAGCATCCCCTTTAGCAACCATCGCAGTGCAAGGCATGCAGTAACACACCAGAAAAAACCGAGTCCATGGAGGGGTGCAGAATACCAACACAGCTTGTCACACCCCTTAAATTGAGACCACCGAGCAGAGTCATCCTTCAGCATCCTATAATTTAAACACTGGTCCTTATTGCGGTTGATGGAATCTGTAAATAATGTAGGTAAATTTCTTAGCATAGGATCTAGCATGTAGCAAGTGCTAATAAGTGTGAGCTAGTATTGGGGAAATAATAATTACTTGTTTTACTAAGACCAGATTTAATTCTATTTGTAGAACTGATCTATCAGTTCTTTCTGTCAATGTATATAGATAAGAAGAAGCAGTCCTGTATCTAAAACTCAATAGTGAACTCTAAAATATACAAGAGTAAAAGCAGGAGCCAGAATGCAGTGGACAGAAAGAAGACTGTAGGACTGTTTGATAGATAATAACTGCCTTAGCAATTTCAGTTTTGGATGATGTGAGCAATTTCTGGCCTACTACGATGGACCCATACAGGGTCATGGCTGGGACAAACACGGCAATTCCACCTAGAGATAGAAAGAATAAAGCATAAAGATGCAACGGGAAACATATCTTTCCCCACATTCCCACCTTTAATTTTTTTAAGCTAATTTCTACGATCTAAAGTACTTAAAATGATGTTTGACTTCATGCAACTATTATGAGGACTCAATGTGGAAGTTCTAGAAAGGATATAATACACAGTAGGCTGGCATTATGATCTATACTTTGCCCTCAGGCCTCTCTCAGTCTCCCCACCCCAAAATGATTTCTAAAATCTATGAATTAGTGAGACTTGTGTAATGTAAAATCCTCATTACTATACTATGCTTATTACTGTAATCACCGTTTTGCTGGAAAACATTTACCAACTGGGTCTCTGGAGGAAATGCCCTTATGTGCAGTATTTCCCAATTCTGTAGTGTAAATAGTCTCACCACAGTCAGTTTCAAGCTATCAGCATGACATTTGGGAAGAGATGGACACAATCTCCCAAGCGGGTATGAGCCAGCTCCAACTGGCTGAATAATTCCTGCCCAGTGAGGAACTCTCACAAGTAGGAAGAAGCATGCTACATTTTAGACTTTGCAGGCATTGCCATTTTTTTCAAACAAAAGGAACAAGATTTATTGATTCTTGGCACATGGATCTTCTTCTGGCCCTTAGAAAGGGCAACAAGTTTATGCTCAGAGTGTTTAGAAACATAGTGATTCTCACCCCTCTTGCTTCCAGATCCCAGATTGCAAGGAAGGAGGACAAACCTGCTTCTCCCAGACCAAAAAAGACATAGAGGAAAAAATCAACAGCTGGTAGCTCCATTTGTGGCACAATCTACAAACACTTAATAACTGAATAAAAACACTTCTGATAAACTCTTCAGGCTATAAAACTAAAAATAATCCTTATATGAGCAAGCAAAATTATGCACAAACACGTGCTTATGTTCCTAAATTAACGAGTGACTAGTGACTTGAGAACTCTTAACAGGTGCTAAAGATTAACTATGCGTATTTCCCATTCCCCCCAATTTTCCATTTTTTCTGAGCAAAAACAACAAATGATTTCCCCAAGAAGATTCAAAATACCATAAGCAGTGTGTGTCTCTTTCATCCATTGGCACTAGAAGGAAAAGAATGTTTCCATTCCTCCCTGGAGGGTAACTCTGAGTATGGAGATGGTATAATTTTGTTGGTGGAGAGTTGAGAGGCACCAAGAGATGTTAGCCACCATACATGGTGGGTTGGCTGCCATTTTCCTAGAGGCAGTGACTTGGAAGTGGGACATGGCCTTACTGAGCAATCCATTGCCAAACAATCAATGTCAGCTGTAAGAGTCCACATCTTTGGCTTAGGAGACCTGCCCATCCCCAACCACACCAGACCCCAGGTATGGAGATGAACCCTGGGAATGAGATATAAACCTGGGAACTGTCCATGTGCTATGTTACTTGTGAAACCTTAATGGAACCTGATACAGTTGCCATATATTCAAGTATATAAATTGGCCTTTCAAGCTTTCTTCTGTAAAGGGTTTCCTTAAATTGCCAGCCGCTGAGCCCTGCACAGGCTGGTTTTCAAAAGCAAGGAAAAATGCAACAGGTAGATAGACCTAGACAGCAGGTACAGGTCAAAACCCACCTTGGTATCCAGCAATCTTTATGTAGGTCACCTATGCACTGGGTAACTTGTGCCCCACAAGGTACAGCAGTGGTGGCCAGTGAGGTGATATCTGGGAGCTGACAGCTGTCTGGACTTCTCCTATAACAAAGCCATTGATTTCCCTGCCCAAGCCCAGCGACTGTGTATTCTTAAACAAGCAGTAGCTTTCAACATCCTCATCCAAGGAGGGCCTGAAGTGTGTCACATGCCAGAAAAAAAGCCCATGGAAGGCAGTGTTGCCCTCCAGAGAAGAAAAAGTGTTTTTTCCTTTCTAAATCCAATGAAGAAATCATTGTTTCTGTATTTTTGCTTATCCACCAAGCACACAGGCAGCCATCTGGGTTGAACTTACTGAGCTTTAGAAATGCATCACATATGGCAGGGCAGAGATAAAGATAACAGAGTAGGAAGACAAGGTGGAAACCTCCTCCCAAAACACGTAAAACATGAAAATACAGCAAATACAACTAAACCTGAAAATGACCTGAAGACTGCAGGACCGACTACCTACATCTGGGGAAGAAGAGAAAACCTCACAGAAAAGGTTAAAGTGGCAAAGCCAGATTGAGCAGGACCCAAGCCCTCCTCCAACCCCAGCCACAGGCAGGAGAAAGAGGAACAGAGCAGAGAGGGAGTAGGAGAACAGGATCACTGAACACCTGGTCCTTGAGATCTGCTCCAGGAGCATGAGCCCACATTACATGGTATTCTGGTGATTAGTGACGCTGGACCAAAAATGCAGGCAGAACACTAAGGGAGATTGAGAACCTGGATGCTTGGGGAGAACAGGCACACTACACCTGTCCACCTGACACAGAAGCAAGGCAGACAGTTTGAAAGACTTCCCAACAGTGGGATGGGTGCCATAGGGGCGAGTGTTGGACAGAGCTCACTTCCCAGGGGGAAGCTCAGGGGCACAGTACCACCCCAGACAGCCCCTGGCCCCACATATTGTGAACTCCCAGGAGCCTTAGATGCTTCATCCCAGTTGCTGGCCATAGAGAAGTGAGGGTCCTCCCTGCATGCATGGCCACCAGACAACCCACCTGGCCCAGCAATAATGTCAGATTTTTCTGCCAGGTAGGCAGAGGG